ATCAAAAGATGATTTGGCACCATCAAGACAAGTGGTTCGAGCCTATGACAACGCCACCAAAGAAGTTTTGGGTTCCATCAAATTACTTATATAATATGACCCAATGGCTAGGAAAGTAGACTTCACAGTGATTGACATCAAAGCATGCTTTAACTTCTTTCTAGGAAGACCTTGGTTACATCAAAACAAGGTTGTAGCCTCAACGTTACATTAAAAAGTGAAAGTAATGACCGATCAAGGAGCGGTAACCATCCCTGGAGATCCAGATATCATGAACATCTCACCTATCGGGAAATCTGTGCTACACCTAGATGAAGAAGAAGGGAGTCGCTTGGATGGTTTTAATGTATTTTGCATTCAAAGTGGTGGGTGGATAGAGGTATCTGATGAGGATAGTAATGAAGAACCAGAGGACCCAATTGAGATTTCAGAAGAAGGCGATGAACCTCTGTATCAAGAAAAGGAAGAAGAACCTAGAACCCCAGAGGACAGAATTAACAATGAGCAACAAGAACGAGAAGGAGAGTCGTGGACTAGCAGCGATAGTCATGCAAATAGCAATGACGCATGCGATGACTTTGATTTAGATTTTGATGTTCCAATGTTTAGAGTGCCAATTTTCCTAGAAAAATTAATTTTGTTTCCGGGCTATAAACATGAACCAAGATATCAAGATCTACCAAAATTAGAAAAATTTGATGGCACAGGTGACCCAATGATCCATCTCTGTAAGTTCGTTAATGTCCTTGCTCCCTTGGATGTCCCAGAAGAACACCTCCCTACATTATTTGATCGTAGCTTGGAAGGCGCAGCGTTATCTTGGTATTACAGTTTTGAACACATTGGTGAAGCAACTTGGAATGAGATATCACAAGCTTTTGTTAATTGGGCTTATAATTTTAGTTAAACGGACCCTCAGAAATTGGTCTTAGTCACAACCCTACAGACAAATCAAGAAACTTTCTCCCACTTCAGCTCTCGATGTTCTGTTGTACGATCCATGCTTCGAAATCCTATCACAGATAAAGAGTTTATGCTCATCATGCTTAAGAACCTTAATGATTTCTATTACCGTCAAATGGTTACAATGAGATACAATATTCTTGGGCATATGAAACAACATGGGTTCGATATCGACACATACAAATTACTAGACCATAGACCAAGGATCAATCCATGTGCCGAAACATCTAACAGAAGATCATTTACAGAAATTAATGAGCCTCTAAGTGCGGTGTATCGTCGTTTGCACAGGCAAGGCCTTATAAGAACAAAGGGATACGTATGTGCAATCCCGCCACCTGAAGTAAATACGGAGAGATACTGTCGTTATTGCAGTCAGTTTGGCCATACAACTGATTCATGTTTTGATCTTCGATGCTCTATCCAAGACCTCATTGATCGTAGGATAATCGACCCAATCCACACAAGGCCTAGGACTGGACACAATCTTGTGCTACGTTTTTCATCGCAACAATGGTCGTCTCAATCTGCAATCTTTCGAGGATTACTCGATGAAGGCGCTATTAAACCACTTCCTCGACGATCTGGAGCCAGCCCTATAGGAGTAGACCTCCACAAATATTGTCATTATCACCAACTTCACTGTCATGACACCGATGGATGTCACGCTCTTCGCTTGCACATCAAACATATCACCAAGATATCACATTTGAGTCGTAAAAGGTCAATATCCATTAATGTCTTATCAACTTCTAATGATGAAGAGGACCCTACGAATCTCATGACATACGATCCTCTAAGTGAAGAAATGGGACGGATGAATGTGAATGAACGGTTATCTCCAGCACCACAATCCGATGGATCATCCAGTGATGAAGAACCCTTTTGGATGTAAGATGAGGAATTTGCCGTGACTGCGGATGGAGAAGATACATCCGCAACAAAAGTAGCTTCTATTCAATCAATCATGGAGCCACATATCTTTCTAAGACGGATCGACAACGAAACCAAGAAAGCATGTACTCAAGTATGTAAAGCATGGGCTAGATGGTTGTATAAAATGAAGCAGGATGGTTATGATGAAGAACCTAGCGAAGGTTCAGGACATTAACAAAGAAATAATCATGATCCACACTTCTGTTCATTCTTAGCCAACCTCGTATAAACGCAAATTCTAGAAAAACCCAAAAAAAAACCAAAAAATAGAAAAACCCACAAAAAAACCAAAAAAATAGAAAAACCCACAAAAAACCAAAAAATAAGAAAAACCCACAACAAGAAAAACCGAAAATAGAAAAACCCACACCACAAAAAAAAAATCAAAAAAATAAAAAATCCACAAAAATGCCTCCTTTTACTACCCTAAGAACTACGTGCAGCTTGATCCCCCTTGGCACACTATAACACTGAAACTCCTATAATCACCATACCCTTCATTACTTTCTTTTCTCACCACGCCATTGGGGGTACGTAGGCAACTCAGGCATGAGTTTAGCTGCTTAAACACAAAACCAACCTTCCACTTTATATGTGTATTGCAAACAAAATAGAGATTATGCAGAATTTGGACTCGTACAAGGTACAAGGAGATACGCAAGCACGTAAGAAAATTGTTGAGTTTCTTGACATCCACCGAAGAAAATTATTAAAGGGATACAGGCCCATGTTCTACATCTTTGTCCTTTATTTTATTTTTTTTCAAAGTTGGTATAACATGAGAGATGAACACCTATAAACCCTTTTGTTAACCCAGATCACTTCCCCTTATTGATTAATCATAATACATCTCCGTGTTTACATACCAAAATGGTTTCAGTAGCATGGCTGAATGTCAAACAATGAGTGAGTTCTAACATCTTGGGTACCTTGTATGTAAAGAAGCATCTAATCTAACACCTTAATCAACGGCCCTTACTGACCTTTTCTTTCCTTTATCAAAACGCCATTTACTTTTTTTTCCAAACAAAAAATTCATATATATGCATTTCTTAAGTTTCTTTTTTTTAAAAAAAAAAAATTCTTATTTGGCATATGAATTTGCATGATTCATACATATCTTTTCTTTCCAACTTTGGTTGAATTTAATACCCCTTGTATAGGTAACTACCCAGGATAAACAGATGTCTGATTTGGAAGCCTTCTCTTTACAAATATGACCAATCCCTCTCAACAAACAAATCTTTCAGGCCGACTAGAAAATCCCATCCTAAAAAACCAAGGTTAAATGCCCCAGCCACTTACTAAGGGTCTACAATTAATGATGAAAATGGGTTATATACCTGGTCAAGGTTTAGGTCGAAACAGTGAAGGAAGGAGGGACCCTATCCCCATCATTGACAAGAAGAATCCCCATGGTTTAGGATATGATCCTAGCCACGACTTTCACACTCACAAAAGATCATCTTTAACACTCAATGGACAGTTCGTTTTAAAAAATGATACCGAGCCATACCATGAATTCCCTGAGCCGTGGTATGACTTCGCCTCACAAAAAATACTCCCCGGACTGGAAATCTTCTTCGCTGAGGCTAGAGACGAGGATGTGGTAGAAAAGTGGTTTTACGAGAAGCCGAAACAAAAGGAATACATTGATTGGATAGAGTACTTGAAGCATGGTGTTCTGAGAAATTTATTTTCTACAAAATTTGGAGATATTGAAGGCATATATCCATTATCACTCATAGTACCAGTTGAGGGTGATGTTCAACTCCAAATGAAAACCGAAAAGACTCAAAACCAACCCAACCTAAAAGACCCTTCCTTTAAACTTTTTTCAAAAACGAATGAGATTCATTTCTCCCACTCAGATGGCTATGAAACGGATAGTTCTTCATCCATCCAACTTTCCCTCTACACACAATCTGACTTTTCTGATCATGAAGACTTTGAAGCTCTTGTAGAATCTAAACATGTTTGTATGCAAGAAATTAATGTTGATTATCATGAGTTATTTGACAATAAATCTTTCAATGAGCCTAAATCATGCATGGCACCTATAGAAGAGTCCATAGTCATAGATATAGTCATAGAAGGTGACATAAGAGAGGTTAAATTAGGATCTTCCCTCTCCCCTGAAGAACAAGTTGCATTCATTTCATTACTTAAAGACTATGTAGATGTGTTTGCATGGTCATACGCCGATATTCCAAGTGTGGACCGTAACATAGATAAACATCGTATTCCTGTCTATCCAGACAGCAAGCTAAAACAACAAAAGTTGCGAAGAATGAAGCCAGAAGTCAGTCTTAAGGTCAAAGAGGAGATCTAGAAGCAGCTTGATGCAAAATTCATTCGACCAATTAAACACCCCGAATGGTTGGCTAATGTGGTGATAGTTCCCAAAAAGGAAGGAAAGGTTCGAGTATGCATAGACTTCAGAGATTTAAATGCAGCATCACCAAAAGATTATTTCCCACTGCCCCACATAGATGTCTTGGTGGATAGTACTGCGGGACATGCAATGTTCTCATTCATGGATGGTTTTTCAGGCTATAATCAAATACTGATGGCGATGGACGATACACCAAAAACATCGTTTATTACCCCATGGGGGACATTTTGCTACCAAGCGATGCCCTTCGGACTAAAAAAATGCTGGGGCTACTTATCAACGTGCTGCAACAACCATCCTACATGACCTCATTCATAACACTGTTGAAGTGTATGTGGATGATATGATTGTTAAAAGCCATGACCGTATGGAACACTTATCGGCATTGAAGTCTTTCTTCGATAGAATTCGGAAATACAACTTAAGATTAAACCCCCAGAAATGTGTGTTTGGGGTAACTTCCGGAAAACTTCTAGGATTTATTGTAAGTCAAAAAGGAATCAAGGTTGATTCAGATAAGGTTAAGGCTATTAAGTAATTGCCTCCTCCAAAGAATGAAAAAGAAATAAGAGGTTTTTTGGGAAGAATTCAGTACATCAGTAGGTTCATATCACAACTTACGACTAGATGTGAACCAATCTTCAAACTTCTTCGGAAAAATGTGCCAAAAAAGTGGAATGATGAGTGTCAAGCTTCATTTGATTCAATGAAAAATTATCTTTCTAATCCTCCAGTTTTGATGCCACCCAAGTCCGGGGAACCTTTGCTCTTGTACCTTACAGTGACAGAAACTGCCACGGGTGGATTTTTGGCGCAATATCAAGAAGGTACCAAGAAAGAAATTGCTATTTATTATCTAAGCAAAAATTTCTTAGAATATGAGACTAGATATACTCCCCTAGAAAGGGCATGCATCGCTCTAATCTACGCGACAAAAAAGCTCCGACATTATCTACAAGCTCATACAACATTCCTTATCTCAAGATTAGACCCTATCAAATATATCTTTGAGAAACCTATTCTGAGTGAAAGATTTGCGAGATGGCATGCTATTCTCTCAGAATTCGATATTCAATGTGTTAGTCAAAAATCTGTTAAAGGGAGAGCCATATCTGAAGCGTTAGCTGATGGGCCTATATCAGGAGATGAATTCGATAATGACTTTCCGGATGAACATTTATTCAATATCAATACATCACAATGGAAGATGTACTTTGATGGAGCATCTAATAGAAGGGGGAATGGTGCAGGTGTGTTACTTATTGATCCACATGGAGTTCATATTCCCTTTTCAATAAAACTTAGTTTTCCAACAACCAATAACACCGCTGAATATGAAGCTTGCATCTACGGTGTAAAGGCAGCCTTAGCAGCAGGGGCAAGAAATCTTATAGTGTATGGTGATTCAAACCTCATTATATCTCAGACAATTGGAGTGTGGAGGGTTCGAGATGAAAGGTTGCAAATGTATACTGACCATCTCCAACAACTTATCCCCTGCTTTGAGGAAATCGATTTCAAACATCTCCCTCAAGAACAAAATAGATTCACTGACGTGCTAGCAAATCTGGCAGTAAATTTAACCTGGGAAGATAACGTTAAAGTTCGGTTTGTAACTGTAGAAGAAAAAAGTTCCCCAGTGATCATGGATGAAGAAATGATCACATCATTAACTATATGAGACGAAGAGGACGCTTGGTATAGCGACATAAAAAATTTCTTGGCCACTCGGGAATATCCCGAAGGGAGTCATAAAAAAGATCAACTTGCAATTCGAAGGCTAGCCGCTCACTTTGTGATATTAAAAGATCAATTGTATCATAAAGGTTTTGATGGAACCTTGCAACTATGTATTCATGGTGAACAAGTCTGAAAGATCATGGGAGAAATCCATGGAGGAGAATGCGGACCACATATGAACGGACGAATGTTGGCTCGTAAGATTTTGCGAGCCGGGTATTATTGGACCACCTTGGAGACAGATTGCATACACTTTGTAAGGACTTGTAAGAAGTGTCAAATCTTTGCAAATCTCAACCATATGCCACCCGTCTCACTACATAATCTCACTTCACCGTGGCCATTCTCAAGTTGGGGCATCGACATCATTGGACAAATTCATCCGAAAGCTTTAAATGGGCATCAATACATTTTAGTAGCGATTAATTATTTTTCAAAATGGATTGAAGAAGCATCATTTTCCAAATTAGGTGCAAAACAAGTCTCGAAATTTGTGATAAACAACATTATTTGTCGCTATAGAGTACCTTTTGAAATGATTTCGGACAATGGGTCGCAATTCGAGGGGCAATTGAAAGAAACTCTTGAAAAGTATAAAGTTAGGCATCATCAATCTTCTCCTTATCGCCCTCAAACCAACGGAGCAGTTGAAGCAGCCAATAAGACCATTCGAACAATAATCGCAAAAATGACTGAAAAGACAAGGGAATGGCCTGACACGTTAAGCCCTTAAGCTTTTAAAGGAAAAATGGAATGAACATTATTTTATAATTTGTGTCACCCTATTACGTATACCTCTGGTTTTTTTTAAGTCATTTGAGGAAGATATAAATTACTCATGCCTCAAGTTGATATTAATCCAAAAAAGAGACATATTTGTATCACTTTAAGACTAACACTTTTTTTTTAAAAAAAAAAAAAGTCTTCTTCGTTCTATGGCTATATGAAAGGAGCATTATAAATAATTCATTTAGTTTGAAATAGAATGTCTTATAATTTTTAAATAAATCTCGTTTAAGTTTTAATTCCATCATCGTTCGGAAGAGAAAAATTTCCTTATGCATTTCTTAATAAAGAGACAACTAACTTTTAATTAAGCAAAATATGGCCTTGCATGCTTGTATCATTTCATTAATAAAATAAATCTTTCGAGTTATTGTTTATGGCTTATATTTAAATAAGAGGGTAAAGTTGAATATTCAATCATGATAGGTTATAAGGTGATCTATTTGCCGCAGAGAATTATACTTTTAAAGTTTTATTATCTTTGATAGATCGCTTACTTAATCTAACATGATTAAGGTTTTCAACATATACTACCTATCATTTAGATTTAAGTCATATAGAATGTCCATTCTGCGTAAGTCAATTTCATACAATCTAAACACATTTCCTTCGTATTTTTCTCAATTCATACCAAATAAAATTCCCTTTTTAGCACACTCAAATAAGCCCACACAATCTCTTTTTGGAAGTTGGTCAACCCTAAATAAAGTCGTTAATTAAAACGCATTTTACAAACAAAATCATTCTCCTCAAAGAAACTCCTATGGTGCCGCTCGTTCTAGTGACTTCCTCAACCTTGATAAATTGATCTCCACCTTGAAAGAAAGATTGCTCAACCTCATTCAAATGACCCTATATGGATCGACCACCTCTCCCAAAAAAAAATATAAACCTTCTTGAAACCTCGTATGAAATTTTGACCATGTATAAATGGACGTTAGTAAGAACTACGTAGGGTTTTGATCCGGGAGTGGATTCAAATCCCACAATGAACGGTACGTAGTGCAACTTTAATGCTCAAACCCACCATATATAGTAAGGTTTAATTCACTTTTATTTTACATTTGAGTATGATTGACAATGTGGAAATTTTCATGTTTTTATGCATTAGTTTAAGGAAAAGTATGTGAATAATCATAACCAATTAACAACATATTAGTAAGAGCCTGTTCGTTAGAACAGAGGAAGAGACGAGTTCCAAACGTTCGATCTTCCTAACTTATACCCCGTACCTAGATCTATGATTTTCCTAAGACCATACTTATATAGTGCCTCATCTAATGGAGTCAATGTCGTTTTCTATTTGAAAATGATCATAAACAAAAAGACCGTCTCTATTCGGGCAAAAATAGAGTGGCGACTCTAATTTTTATTTTTTTTAGTCAAATTATCGACTTACGTGGGATTTGACTTCTAATTTTAATTAGTAAAAAAAATGGGTACCACAAAGGGAAGGTTTTAAAGTGTTGTTTGATTTAGAATTTAAAAGTTTTAAAGTAAGTTAGTATTGCTGTAAATTTGATTGATTGGGTATTGATTGAAATGTTATTGTTTGGTTTAGGAGAGGAGTTTATTGAAGGTGATTTTTAGTTTTTAAGTGGCCAACCGAATTTTTTACACAAGGTACGTACAAGTTACGAAACCTTGCTTGTAGGTGCATGTTTAAGGACGGATCGAGAACTTAGTATCATGCATAGGAATGACTGGGTTAAATTGTTTGGTTATACATTGTGAATTTATATGATGTGCACTATTTTATATTGCAAGTATTATTTGTGCTCTAATTATGCAAGGTGCACTTAGAGGAAAAGGTATGTGATTGGTGTAAAGATTAATTTATTACTCATTCATGATTATGCTAAGAGGATGAGCAAAGGAAGAATTCAAGTCTTATAAGACGAGGTTAAGGTTTTGGGATGCGTTATGCACTCAAGGTGTTTATACACCGAGGTAGTTAAAGGAATAAATAATAAATGTTGCTTGTCACTAATAAATCAAGAATTGAAATTGGAAAGTTGTTTTACGTGATTGAATTGATATTGGATTGATTGTATTGTTTGCATATGAGTCATCACCAAGTCTAAACCTGTAAATCACGTAAAGTGCAAGATGGATGAGCAACAAAACTCTGAAGTGGTGCACTTCTAGAGTAATGACAAACAGGGGTTGGGGTACACGGGGTATTAGCCGTGTACTTTTCTCGAGGCCGTCTGATCTACAAGTCTCTTATTTCAAATATTTTTCAAAACTAGGAGTTAGGTGAGATCTCATACTAACTACGGTCACGGAGTCGCGTCCGTGGTTGTTGGATGTTTATTAATGTTTCTGAAAGGAGGCATGAGGTTTTTCTTTTATTGATGTTCCAAATGGAGCATGGGTTGGACAACCTTGTCTATTGCATAATCCAATGAATAAATAAATAAATGAGTTAGCTACTACCAACTAGTGAAGTCTTAATAAAATTGATAGATGAGTCGTGTGTTGAGTCTATAATTTAATGATGCATGATGTTTGATTATTAGTATCATGTTAGGGAATTCTTATTTTATTTCGCAGCTTGTATGTACTCAGCTTTGCTGATTGCGTGCTTTGTGTGCGTCTTTATTTGGTCATGGCCTTCGCCTTTCAATGACCTTGTGACGATCCAATTTTTACACTTGTAATATTGGGGAGCAGATAAACCACAAGTTCTTACACACGCAACATTTGCATCAGGGTTGTGGGATTTTGAGTGGAGAGTTGGTTATTATTCGCAATTTATTTCTTTTCATAAGTTTGAATTTATTTAAATTCTGGTTTTATTTATTTACTACTTTTGTGGGGTTTTGAATAAGGGCCTTAATGGTTCCAAGTTGTAAGATTTAATATGGTTTTGGTGATTGATTTTGAAACTTATTTATAACCGAGTTAGTTTTTCCGCTGCTATTTTCCGATAAAGCCTTAACGTTTGTGCGGTAGCACGCCAGTAATTCTCTTGAATTTTGTTCAGGGTACTCACGGGTTTAAACAGAGAATTATTGGGGTGTTACAAAGTGGTATCTGGGAGCTTAGGTTTGATTTAATTACCACTAAAGTCAATTTAAAGTTTTTGGGCGCCTATTGTTTTTTTTTTAAATCTAACGATATTGGATTTAAGTACTTGATTTAAAGTTAAACTGTTGTTTTTGAAAATTATTTTATTTAAAATTAATTAATTTAGCATTTATTTAAAATAAAAAATATGTATTTATACATATAATTAAATTAGTGTGTTGTATAAATATTTTAAAATAAAATGAATTTGAATATTCATTATACTCTTTTAACTTGGGTACTATTTATGTCATTTTATCAGTGAGTTTTGGGTAGTCTTAGGATGGGCATATAAGTTGATGCATTCTTTTTTATGTGCATTGTATTCAATTTTTGTGTTAGTTAATGTTGAATGAAGTGATTTATGCAAGGGATTTAAATTATATATATGTGGTATATGGGATGATTTGTGCAATGTAATATCTATGATTGATCATTATGGGGTATGTGAAGCATGTAATTATGTGAGTTTGATTTATGGTTATTTAATGATGCTATTTATTGTTTGGGGGGTTATTAATAGGATATTTCTTTCTTAAATTTGACTAACCTCCAAACCTTACACCCAATGAGAGTTTATTGTACTTGAAGAATGGATAAAACATGTTGTAATAATGAAATATTGAATTGAGAATTGAGTTATGACTTTCTTGTTTTTTTTTTGTAAAAGGTTATTACTTGGGAACTTTTGAGAATAAGCTTATGATCTGAAGGAATTGAGTAAGTTTAATTGGGAAATTAAAAGAGAGAACTTGATGAGCTAGTAAATAAGTATTAAAGTGTGAGTTATGAGTTGAACTACGAGTGTTTCGTGGAGGATTGGGAGATGATTGAGAGGAGATCTACGACCTACGAAATTATAATGAAATGCTTGGTGATGTTATTCATTGAGGTGAGTTACGGGGGCGTAACTCTTTTCTTTTACGGGGGGTAGAATGCGATGTAATTTCGCGCTTTTTACCTCAATTATGCTATTTATTGCTTGAGTTTGCATGATTTTGCTTATTAATATGCACTATTATTGTATTTACATGAAATTAAAGTATGTAAACTTTGGCCAAGTATGAGTTTATTAAGCATAAA